AGTAAGTTAATTAGTAGTATTTATTATACTACTATATATATATATATATATATATATATATATACGTACAAGACAGATTCTGATTTATAAGTACCATCAGCAAGACTGAATGAGTACATAAAATATTCTCAACTTCACATGGTTTAATATCCAGTCTCTTATTTACTTACTATTAACAAAACAAGAATACTATCAGTATTTCTCATTAATAATTTAAAACAAATACGTAACATATTACAATATAAAAAAATATGAAAAACCTAAAACTTTCCCACATCTTGTACAGAATTACCAAACTTTTCTGTCAAACTAAAATTTAAAATAACAAAAAGACATTACCATGATCTTTTTTTTATCTTTCAATTTAACCTGTGAAATATTAACAAGTGATTTTTCAATTAAATTATATGAAAACTGTTCACCAACAAAGAAACAGAACTTAGTGATGCGTGGAAATTAGAAAGAAAATGATGAGAATTAGTGACACATATTAAAAGCAAAACAACAAAGCTAATCCAAACAAGACTCATAGGAGCAGAAAATCAATAAACATTGGAAAAAAAGGTTAAACTCTTCAAGCTTTCAACTAGACAAAAGAAAAAAGTGCATATTAAAATATAGTAGTATTATAGATGTAAGTAAAATATGAAGGGAAGTAAAGGGTATACTTTAATATGATTCTAAAAGTAATGAAATATTAGATCCTCAAGAAATTAATGTCGCTTTTTTTAGATGAAAAAACCTGAACAGCTTATATATCAAAACAAAACATTTATTAAATAAAATAGTTTCCATTCTTATTGATGATGCTTTTCCATCTTACAATCAGGTTGTTAATGCCCTGGTTAAAGAAGTCACTTGGCTTTGAAGTAAAAAACACGTCGATGTTTTCTTTAACACCTTCCATATTTGCATACGTTTTTCCCATTACGATGGTGTTGCAGCAAACAAAAAAAGATGATAATCTGATGGTGCCATATTTGGAGAATATGGTGGGTGGGGGAGTAAACTGAAGATAAACAAGAGATAAAGTAGGAGAAAGCGAGGTGCTTCAAGTGGGAAGGAGAAGTTCTAGTGGCTGAGGTTTGAGAAAAACAGAAGAACAATGACCACAAGCCATAGAAGAAAAGGTTGAGATAAATCAGATTGTAGTTGAGACAGAAAAGCATCAGCATGAGTATGAATGTCTGGGGTTGGTGATAAGAAAAGAAAGCCAGAAGGCAAAGGATCATGAAGCAAAACAACCCAAGACTCATCTACTGGAGAAAGAGAAAGGATGTCACATACCTGAGTAATCAGAGTTACAAAGGAAGAAGCAAAGCAAGCAGAGGGAAAAACTAGTTAAAGTCAAGTCATTGTTACATGAGACAGGCTCAGTGGAAGCAATAGAAACAGAAAAGACAAGGGACCTGGACAAGAGAATAATGAGGCAGAAAAGTACCAACTACCTGATATACAACAGAAATAACATCATTAACAGACAAAGTGCTTCTGGTCACTGTTGAAGTAGGAGGTATCAGGGTTTTAGGAAGTAGCAGAAATGTGGATCTGAGAATTCATGATCAAAAATGACCCTGGAATTAATAATGGTTGTCTTTTCATCATTTTCATATTGTAGTTAAATAGGTGAGAGTAGTCATAGTCTAACAAAAAAGAATGAGCCCGTGTTCATGTGCTAGTACTCTTGGGGATTACTACACATGGAGGATGTGCCGCTCTCATATTGGTGGAGGGATATAGTCTATTGATGATTATTTTATAGGATGCAATACACTTTGTCATATGTAAGGGTGGGAGCTTTGTTGAAGGCTTATGATATGCACAGGAAATTACGTGGCAGTGCATGCAAGGTGACAGCTGTTTGTTGTGCAGAGGCAAGTAGCATTTCTGAACTTTTTATTCCCCCATTCTCCTTTTCGTCCGAGTTATCCTATATGCCTAAACCTATGCAGAACATCTTAATGGAATTTCAGCAACTTTTCTTGTTTATAATATCATTTATTCATACATGCACTACAAGTAAAGGCAATGCTCCTTGGTGTTTACAGTTTATTGTCCTGAACTTTAGAACCTTATAATCAAATTGAGTTTTAGACTTTCCATGTTCCCCACTACACATCACTATATTTTATGAGCCACCATTACATGAACCTCTTGACCATTTCATTCATCAATGCAAAAAACAAAAGGTTCAAATCTATTAAATTGGTATATCAATGGTAATTGATTCTGCTCTATAAAACTTGGTTCAAATCTATTAGACTGGTATATCAATGGTAATTGAATCTGCTCTATAAAACTTGGTTCAAATCTGTTAAATTGGTATATCAATGGTAATTGATTCTGCTCTATAAAACTTGGTTCAAATCAATTAGACTGGTGTCTCAGTGGTAAATGAATCTGTGTTTACGAAACATTTTAGCCACAGTGCACCTTTGTAAACACAACACTCTCATCTCCCACCTCCCCTCAAGCAACTTAATCCATCCCTCAACTTTCTACTTTGATTTCAGCTCCTAATATGTGACACCTCTTCCCTCTCCTTCCAATATTATCTCTAACTTATCTTCAAGTAAGCAAGCTCTGCAAATGAAATGTTATGTATCTTTCTGAACCTACTGATAAATTAGAATAAGGCTAACAATTCACAAACATAACCTAATCCTGGCTCTAATTGCACCCTCTAGAAACCATCTTACTTATTTCTATCTATTATAAAGACAAAAGCTATAGCTTTCAAAAGTGCTTTGGTTTAGTTTCATCATTTTCATTTACTTATCCCTGTATTACCTCTAATCATATTGAAGTTCTGTATTAGTTCTCTATTAAATATCTAACCACCAAATATATGAAAACCTAACTAAAAAAATAAGCTATTTCAGAGTTTATAGATTAAACTGAAGATAAGTCCAACACTTAAATCTCCCTATTAATTATTACTGATACTAGTGATCATTTATACAATAACTAAAGATGCAAACCACATCTAGTACAACTAACTTTGATTCCCAATAATTTACTAAATACTTAGCAGCTACTAAATGATAAAGGAAACAATAATTTTACCTTTTAATATAAATAAATTTTCCCTCTTACTCTACTAACAGATCATGTCTGCATAAAAAAATTCAGTAGAGTAGTAATAGAATATGAGTCTAGATTGGCTAAGTGGAAAAAAATAAATCTTGCAATATATCTACAGAGTCAGTAAAAAATGAAGTGACTGATTAAATTCATTACTTGGCTTACTTCAGTGTACTATTGTACCTATTAGCCCATAAAGTTTTGTTGGTTAAGGCAAGATACACCATATTTTGAAATGGTTGGGATAATAGCAAGAAAATTTGAAGAGTGACCACACAATACTATCAAACATACTTCAAAAAACTGATTTATACTTTCCAGCAAAAATTAATATAAATTATTTTTTTCATTAGTATATCATCATATTAATGTGTGTAAATCTGTAGTTTCAATTTTTGGTTTGTTTATAGTTATAAAAAGAAGAGTATTAATATTCAAATGTGGACTTTAAGTTTTAAATACATGAAACAAATCAAGAAATATGGCCTTTTTTAATTTTTAAAATAGATGAAACAAATCTTGAAATAACGAATATTTTAATAAAACTATTATCATACTGTGTAGCAAAACATTACCTCTCTCTTCTTGTAGTAGTTAAATATATCATTTACGTAATTAGGCTCTGCAAAGGGATCTTGAAGAGATTCATTGTCAAAGTCCAAAACTCCAGGTGGAAGAGTATCAGAAATAAAAGTAGTAGCTTCTGATGCAGGTTTGGGTTCTTTTGTTTCATCTCTGTCAAACAGCATAAGTACTCAAGTAATCAATATAAGCTACTGCAATAATGTACAATTATCTAGAGCCATAGCCTGATAATGTTCCATAACTTATATATGTGATACTAAATACAAATAGTTTTGAAATCCATTAAAAGTTTTGTCGGTATGTATATTAAAAAAAGTGCTGTAATGATACACTGCTCACTGAAAAACTAGTATAAAGCACAGTACCATACATTATTTGAAAGCTACAGTTTTAATGCATACATTCTATAATAACATTTCATTTTAAATGATTAACACAAGTCAAGACAATGATATTTATGAAACTATAATAAAAATGTTTATGTTTTACAATACCAGTCATTACAACCACCTTTACTTGTTTTTACAACACATCTATACAACTAAAAAACAGGAAAGCTTACCGTAGTATCATGAGCTTAAAGCACCAATCATACAAAGTAGTTTTAATAAATATATGTTATGTGGCAGAGACAGAACCTAATACATATAAACACACATGCATCTTTCACCTAATATATCACATGTTGAAAGTTTAAGTAAATAAGTTTTAGATTGAGATTTTTCAAGAATTAAGCTTTTTTTATAGTTCAATCCATAGAACACAGTTCAAACAAAATATAAAAGTTTATAAATGTCAAAAACTGACCCTTCTTCCTTTGCTACTGTAATGTGAGTTGTGTCCTCTCCTTGTTCCTGAGAACTTAAAGTATCTTTTGAGCAATAGCTATCAACCTGCTTTTGTGAGTCACATTGGTCTTGTTCTGCCTGTTGTGTCTTTTTCTGATTTTGAGAGTCTGATTTGTTCTGCTTCTTAGACAATCTGGTGCTAGCTTTCTTAACTACTTGTTCAAAAGCTTTTTTAGGCTCAGCCACAAATGCATTAGTGATATCCCCAAACACTGAACGTTTTTTTGGACACAATTCTGGAGAGTTTTCAGCAGTTCTTTTGGCATTGTTAGAAATATCAGCCTGTAACTTGTCATTCTGAGCAATAATAAAATATATTTGGAAAATTAAGTTTTTCAAAAATATAAGCAAATTATAAATTAAAAGCTCCTATTTTTCTGTATGTAATATTACAGGAATTTTGATAACTATAATTATTTGAAGTACTTCATTTCATACACCTATCTATAAAATTTGGAACAAATATTAATTTATACGATGTGAAATTTGGCATATAAATACATACAAAAATCAAGTGTATCAACGTAATAAACTGACAAAAATACACCTTACACAAAAGACATACCTAATATTCAAATAGGTCAAACATTTTATAAAGCATAAAAATATGTTACACAAATATTTTTATAAAATAATTGTTTTTCTTTGTTGCTAAGCATAAAACTAACTGGTTATTTTTGCTGTGCTCATCAGTGGTTTTGAAACCAGCTTTTCAGACTTACCACTGAGCATTTGGTGGGCTTATCAAATCATTTCATCTATTGCAATTTATTTTTCTTTTGAAATTCAGACTACATGAATAACTCATTTTAAACTGGTCTTGTGTTATTGGTATTTCTGTAAACACCCCCAACTCAAAGGACCCAACAATCTTCAAAAACCTTCTATTATCCTTTAATTAAAATTAAGTTAAAATAATCAAAGTATTGATAATTACACCAGAAATAAAGCTAAAATGGAAACTTCAACTTTATTTAAAACTGAGTAAAAACTAAACTTCATTATCAAAAGAAACAGGCAAATAAAATAAAGTATATACCTCATTGTTGAGTTTTAAATAATATTATTATTATTTTTTTATTAATTCCACAAAATCTGGTGAGATCAATGTTAGGTTTAAGAAAGAAAAACATTTTCATCATAACTCTAAAAGATGAGATAAATGTTTATTTTCTAAAATGGCTTTACAGATCTCTAACTTCACTTTGCCATAGTTAGTCTGATGATGACAGATCTATTTCAACACTAATTTGACATCTCACTGTGAGTGTGATTACAGACAGATTGAAACTGATTGTCTATATAAAATATAACAATGTGTACATTTTATGTTTAATAAATAGTGCAATAATACTAAAATTATTCTGAGGAGGAGGAGGAAAACAAATAATGCTGATAATTATTCACATATAAAAACTAGTAACAGCAGTTGTCTTGGATAGTTTAAGGCTCCTATTACATTTTGGGTCTATTTGACCCAACACTGGTGTCCATAACATTGAGATGTAACTAGGTGCATCTTTGAGATTATTATAATGACAGTTTACATTAATTTCTAGTATTTAATGTAAAAAAGTAAAAGTTACACACACTTTTTATTATAAATTCATGGCCATTTAAGTTTGATTTAAATTGCATTGGGTCAATGACTTGAAACATACAAGCAGGGATAAACATGTTGATTTTACATTAACTGCGGCAGGAGCAGCTCAGTTGCCGTTTTCTGACTCACAGATAAAACTGAGTTGCCATCAATCACAATAAAATGGTAACTTTCTCCATTCGCATAGAGTTATAGTTATATACGTGCGACTGACAGATATTTCCATCATTTGCAGCTGAGCCATAGAACTTCAATGACGGAAATATCCGTCATCCGCAGTTAATGGGTTAGCATCACTATTTATAGGAATGAGATAAAATAAAACAATGAAAACTTAAACTTTCAAAGCCACCTAAAAGGTGCTCTTAGTTATGTGTAAAGCAAAATAAACCCTAAAGATATTCAAAAGTTCATTAAGTTATAATTGCACAATTAAATCATTTATCAACCATTAAGGCCATGGTTCTCAACTTGTGGTCCATGGACCATTAAGGCAGGCCTCGAGAAATATTTTCAGATCTAGGAGCCAGCCCAAAAACTTAGGAGCCAGGTCCAATATAGGAAAGTTATGGAATATATTTTGAGCCAGTTGTGTGGTTATGATATGAGACACACAGTTTTACACTAAAAAACAAAGGGTTCATTATTAAACTTTATTATATGACATATATTAAAGTTAAACTTCAATATGTGTAATCATTAAAATAGTATACTAAATAACTATAACTTAGGTGGATTCTTGCAGTGAATGAAAGTAAAATAAGAATCACAGTGATATCGATAGGCCAGGCAGATGTTTCAGAAGAGGTCTAATCTACTCATCCCTACAACACTGTACAATGATAAGCAAAGGCCTTTTGGTATACCTAAACTAATTTCACTACTGTTTGTACCGGGAAATGAGGGCTATATTTATTTACTTTCACAGCAATGAGTGCATGCTAATGATTACATGATATCAACAACCAATTGATAGTATGGCCTGAACTAACTGCCTTTGGTCCCATCTGAGTCTAAACATTTGCACTGATTGGTTGAATTGAGAGAAAGAAAAACAAAATGGTGCAAAATAAGTAATGTGTTGTGCAACCTCAGTGCTTCATTCCTGAAAAAAACCTGAAGAAGCGCTAAATCCACCATTAACATCCTAGAAACAAAGTTTGCTTTCAGACTCAAAGAACGAAAAAATAGTTACGGACTTCCTAGAGTCCAGAACTTTTTAGATTCAAGTTCTGTTTAGAACATTTCTATGCATGAATAAAATGGGAGAAAATACTAGGTGCCACGATTTGTCGAGGCCTGCCTTACATGAAAATTCTATAAGGATCAAGGCTGGATTAAGGTTTAGTGGGCCCTAGACCCAGGTAATATTTGAGAAAAAAATAACAATAATGATAATAACTCACTCTTGTCTCTATTCTGCTAGTTTTATAAATCATAATTGTTTTATTTGGGTGAGCCTAGGTGGTCTATCCATTAATCTGGTACTGATAGGGACCCATGATGGTAAACATGGAGTTTTCATATCATTAAAAAAAAAAGTTATACTATGTTTGATTAATTAAAAATAATGTTTTATTTGAAAATGTAATTAGTTTACATACTCATGACTGTGCCACTCTTACACTATAGGGTCAGCTTCTACAAATAGACCAATCTGAGTATGGGGGACCATGAGATTATATTCGGTTTGTGAACAGATCAATGAGGGGGAAAAAAAAGACATATGCCAAGACGAGTAAACACTTTGTGGTCATTACAAACAATTATGATGGATAAGATATACTGGTAGATGTACAAATGTGTTTACTTAATATTTATAACATGTACAATTTGTTACATCCTTTACCTTTGTCATCTGCTCTTCTTTCACTTTTCTAGTCATTGATCCTTTAAAAACATTTAGTGATGTCATCTTAGAGGGCTACTTACAAACCAGGCCACCTGAAGTTACAAAGAGATTATATGCGAAACATAAGCTGTATATAAAGGAGTTTCTATCTTGCATATTTTTATTTTTACTTGTCAAATAAACTATCAGTCTCTATAATTACTATTTGTAAACGATTTTAGCTATTTTTAATACTTAATATTCAGAACTTCCAAAGTTTTTTATATGTGTAGTAGCTTTAAACAGAGGAAAGATTTTCACAAATGTATAAAAGCAAAATAAAATTCTGATTACAGATCAATAACAAGCTTCACAAATTTACATTATGTTTCTATAATCTTTAAATAAGGCTTATTTATAAAACATATGGAAAGTTTTAAATCTCAGGAAATACAGCCTGATTTGATTACATCCACAAAAGTTCCACAGCTAAATTTTATATTGACATAAATTACTATTTAGTGTTAAAATGTTCCCTTGAAAGCATCTAAAGTTTTGTATGTTCATTCCTACTGGGGCTTCTTGACACCATAAAAGAATAACCACCAAAACAGTCACATACAACACTAGCATAATGTCCACCTACTGGTTTTCAACCACAAACCCATTGATAATTAGTGAAAACAGAAACTTGGATTCATATATGAGAATGCATTCATATTATGAAACTGCTGCCAATTTTGATGACCTCAAGAGGAATACAAGTTAAGAAAAACAAGGCTTTAACTTAAGACACCTGTTATGGTGTAAATGTTTTTTGTTGGCAAGGTGCGATTATAATCAATTATATTAGCAATAAGAAATAAGACTCAAGTATTATGCACTCTTCTTTTTCGAAAAACCTTAAGAAGTCGAAAAACTAATGCAGCATAAGTTACAATATGTCTAATACTATTGTCTTATGACAAATATATAAATAACTAATTCATTTACAACAAAGTGATACAAATTTATTTTAGTGGCAGGCAGGCTCCACAGTATTTTATGTGCAGTTTCAGGTGCCTGTCACTAGTTATCGATTAAAAAAAAACACAATTTCTTTATTCAAGTTTATTAGTGTTAAATACTTGAGTAATTAAGTAATATGTAACAAAGATGTGTATGCGGTCATCTAACAACGTTAAATCGATCATTTACTTGGCTGTTGACAGGCCAATTAAAACTCCTTGATGTGCTGCCAGTTGGACAAGCCAAGTATGCAACAGTACAAATATTTTTGATAGTTTATTAGTCATAGGTTTCAATTACTGTTAGCATGTTATACATCATACGTACACTGCAGTGTTACACTAAGAGCATGGGAATCCCATATTTGTTAAGTGTGTCCCCTTGAAAACAGTACATTGTGAACTTAGTGACATGACTGCCATTTTGACCTGTCATATGCAAATTTCCACAGGCAGGTCTATATTTCACTGAATGAGTCTTTCTGATGTATATGCTTAAAGAAATAAATATAAATAAATCAATTTCACTTTTGACCAATCAGTGGGCCACTAGCAGGGAATTCTAAGATGTCTACAACAAAGCTTAAAAACTACATCACACTTCTAGCCTTGCCTCATGGCAAGCAACTGAAGCACTAGTCACACTGATCTGGCTAACCAGATGCATGACCTATTTTTACATTGTTTTGTGTTGTTTAGGGCTCATTATTTAAGTCTACGCATAAAAGAAAGTAAAAAGGAGCATTTGTAGCTTGACTTACATTAATGAAGAGTAATAAAATACACACAAATTTAATATACTAATATAATAGAACTTAGGAACAATAGTGACATTGTATTATTGGATCAGTTTAAACTATGCGACTTTAAAAAGTTTCTCATATAGATCATGAAAATCAACCAAGGGTTAAAAATAGTTGAAATAAGCAAGTCAGTTATTCATCCTGTAATTTAATGGTTGTATATTTCTCCATTTCAACAAGTATGAAATCATTTATTTTTATTCTTTTGTTTTTTATAGAATTAAGTAAAGTATGTAAAAAAAAGAAAAGAAAAAGAGAGAGGTTAGTTTTTGGCCACCAGAAGTCATTGCTCAGCAAACCTTTTAATAAATACCAAAAATAAAACTTCCTTGGTAGTGTCTCTGGCAGGCAAATGAGACTTACACACTTTCATTAGGCTTAAAAAGCTTAACCAAATCAACAACTTTGCCACTTTACACATACTTTGAATTGTCTGCTACTTGCTAACTTAAAAACTCTGGTTTTCATATTATGTGGTTATAGGCCGATAGTAATACAGGTTTCAACAAAAACAAGAACTGTAAGGATTATTAAAAACATATATATACTGTCTGATTGAAGCATATCTCAACTGCTGTCGAGAAAGAGAAAAATTTCAGTATGATCAATAACTAAAGCTTAAAACTAAACTGAATATTTAAACATAGGATATTTTTATAAAAAGTTCAAATTTGAAAAGAATAAATATGGTGTCTGTCTCCTTGCTTAAAATTTTGGCAATAACTTTTAGAATACTATGTTTCATTTTAGATTCCTAATTACAGGATAACAATTGAGGTGTTGGAAAAAGTAGAAAGAAAAAAAAGTTTTCATTAAAGTTGTACCTCATTTCAGACATTTTTAAAACTATTAAAACAAACTTAGAGCTTGTTCTTACTCGATTATATAGAAGCTAAAAGCAACTTCATTCAGGGTTGTTTTAAATATTTTTAGGCTTAAACAATCCACGACCGATATATTTAGAAGGATGGAAGTAACAGCTTTACTAATAGGAGTAATAGCTATATAATCCAGGAATCTAGATTTTTTTCTAAGAAACCCAATTCTCTGTTATGAGTTATATATTACAAATTGATTCCCCAAATGATGTGATGGGTAATGAAGGCAGACCATATCATAAGCATTATGTATGGACAATGAGGGGGCCATTTGGACCTTTAAAAATTAAAGTTGTCCCTGTAAAGAAAATAAATCTGGTTAGATCTTACATTTACAGTTTTTCTAATTAAGTATTTTAATAAACACTACTAATACTACTTTCAACCACTAATTTATAAATTAGAAATATAAAAATACAATAACTGCTATGTACTTGATAAGGCAGAAAATATATTCAATATTACCAAAATGAAATAACAAACGTCAACTGTTCTCTGTAAGTATAACAAGGTATATTAGTTTATAGTTATTAGAATACCATTATCATATCTTTCAGTTTTAGTTTATTGCTATTAATTTAGTATAATATTAGACTCCGACTTAGTCTGAATCTAATTATAACTATAAGCTCAAACAACAAGTCTTAGCCTTAACTTTTTCAGATATTCGATAAGCCTAACTTATTTAGTTATTACTCAAATGTTCTAAGACTAAGAATTAAAAACAATTATCTTATTGAACTTTAAGTTATTCTCTATAACTTCATTTAAATTAACTTTATATGCATCTTGACATTAGTTCTAATTAAACTAAATTAGTAGTATCCAAGTCAGCATATTTTAAATTATAGTAATACTATTACTATTTAGACTATTAGCTTATAGTAATAGTTTAAAAAGTATAATGTAAATAATTTAGTAAAGTTCTACTCTCAGTCTCACCCTTAAAATTTAAAAATAAAAATGTATGTTAAAACTTACAATTAGTATTACATAATTACATTTAAAGATATGAACGTCTAAGTATAATTCAAAACAAAATAATTAACGTTCCCATCTAAAGTCAAAATATATTTGTGTTAAAATACCCTTATCGTGTTATTTACAGTTTGCTTAATAAAGGTAATTTCAAAATTACTTATCTTCCATACTTAAAATTAAATCTCGTCCTTCTCTTACTTTTTTACCAGAAACTTGTGACAAACCCAATTGTTAACGCTGTTACTTCAAAAATTGTACTATCGTTCAAACACGTCAATGATTGGTTAACGTTTACAAAAACAGCCAATCAAAGAACAGTATAACTAAAATAGTTTCTGTTTTTCTAATCAGCTGTAAAAAAATAAATATGAGCTAATTAAGCTAGCATAGATATTATATACCATAGGATTACTTTATTGTTAAGTGCAAAGCTATACAATGAGATATCTGTGCTTTGCCCGTTGCAGGTATCTAAACCCAATTTTTATCGAGTTAAGTCCTTGGAACCACCAAGAATACTATATGAAATAAATGAACAGAATATTATTGTTTAATAACAAACTAAACAGAAAGAAAGAGTAAATAGAACTTAGTTGAAAATATAATTATAGTGTTTGACAGTAAATAAAATTATAGAATTTAACCTATTGTTACGACAGCGGAAGTCACGTGATCCTGGAAGGATGCTCGCTGGAGTTTCTAGAAGCATCATGACTGTTCCTGGCAACTCTAGTCTTTTCTAGGCGCCCTCTATTTTAGTATATAAGCCCGGCAAATAAAGCGGAGATAATAATGGCAGATAGATATAGAGACAGATAATTGAGTTAAGCGAGCTGTAGGCACCGTAAGTAAAGTGCGTGAATCGTTGTGAACTATAGCGTGTGTT